GAGCTGACCTGCACAACTTGGCAGTAGGTAGTGGCCAAAATTAAAATAGGCTAAACTTCTTTGGGCTGCAGATAGGTTTTTAGCACCTCACTATCCAAGTAAAGATATAAAAATACAGATACACACATACTGACAGACATACAGATATACACACATGAACCAACATACAGATGCACACGCACTTTCTTTGTCACCCCTTACATCCTTACCATCACTTCATTTGGCTTCTCTCCTCCCCTCACCCCCAGCTGTACCTCTGCCTCCATTTACTACAGTATTTATTAACCTCTTCCTCCTGAAGCCCCCACTTTTATTTCTGCTCTAACTTACCTCTCCCCTGTGTCTTTCCCCCTTTCTCTCTATCTGCCTCCGAGCACCATGCCTCTGTAGTAATCCATAACGTTTCCTCCTCCGGGCATCATGCCTCTGTAGTAATCCATAACGTTTCCTCCTCCGGGCACCATTCCTCTGTAGTAATCCATAACGTTTCCTCCTCCAGGCACCAGGCTCTATAGTAATCCATAACGTTTCATCCTCCAGGCACCATGCCTCTGTAGTAATCCACAACGTTTCCTCCTCCAGGCACCATGCCTCTGTAGTAATCCACAACGTTTCCTCCTCCAGGCACCATGCATCTGTAGTTATCCACAACGTTTCCTCCTCCAGGCACCATGCCTCTGTAGTAATCCACAACGTTTCCTCCTCCAGGCACCATGCATCTATAGTAATCCATAACGTTTCATCCTCCAGGCACCATGCCTCTGTAGTAATCCACAACGTTTCCTCCTCCAGGCACCATGCCTCTGTAGTAATCCACAACGTTTCCTCCTCCAGGCACCATGCCTCTGTAGTAATCCACAACGTTTCCTCCTCCAGGCACCATGCCTCTGTAGTAATCCATAACGTTTCCTCCTCCGGGCACCATGCCTCTGTAGTAATCCATAACGTTTCTTCCTCTGAGCACCATGCCTCTGTAGTAATCCATAACGTTTCCTCCTCCTGGCACCAGGCTCTATAGTAATCCCATAGCGTTTCCTCCCTCGGGCATCATGGCTCTGTAGTAATCCACGCGTTTTCCTCCTCCGGGCACCATGCCTCATGGTAATCCATAGCGTTTCCTCCTCCGGGCACCAATACCATGGTAATCCATAGCGTTTCTTCCTCCGGTACCATGCCTCTGTAGTAATCCCTCGCGTTTCCTCCTCCTGGCACCAGGCTCTATGCGTAATCATAACGTTTTCTCCTCGGGCACCATCGTACCTCTGCTGGTAATCCATAAGCGTTTCTTCCTCCGAGCACCATGCCTCTGTAGTAATCCATAGCGTTTCCTCCTCCTGCTTCATGCCTCTGTAGTAATCCATAGCGTTTCCTCCTCCTGGCACCATGCCTCTGTAGTAATCCATCGCGTTTCCTCCGGGCACCATGCCTCTGTAGTAATCCATAGCGTTTCACCTCGGGCACCATGCCTCTGTAGTAATCCATAACGTTTCCTCCTCCTGGCACCATTCCTCTGTAGTAATCCATAACGTTTCCTCCTCCGGGCACCATCATGCCTCTGTAGTAAACCATAACGTTTCCTCCTCCAGGCACCATGCCTCTGTAGTAATCCATAACGTTTCCTCCTCCGGGCACCATTCCTCTGTAGTAATCCATAACGTTTCCTCCTCCGGGCACCATGCCTCTGTAGTAATCCATAACGTTTCCTCCTCCTGGCACCATGCCTCTGTAGTAATCCATAACGTTTCCTCCTCCTGGCACCATGCCTCTGTAGTAATCCATAACGTTTCCACCTCCGGGCACCATGCCTCTGTAGTAATCCATAACGTTTCCTCCTCCGGGCACCATGCCTCTGTAGTAATCCATAACGTTTCCTCCTCCGGGCACCATGCCTCTGTAGTAATCCATAACGTTTCCTCCTCCGGGCACCATTCCTCTGTAGTAATCCATAACGTTTCCTCCTCCGGGCACCATCATGCCTCTCTGGCGAAATCCATAACGTTTCCACCTCCGGGCACCATGCCTCTGTAGTAATCCATAACGTTTCCACCTCCGGGCACCATGCCTCTGTAGTAATCCATAACGTTTCCTCCTCCTGGCACCATTCCTCTGTAGTAATCCATAACGTTTCCTCCTCCGGGCACCATCATGCCTCTGTAGTAAACCATAACGTTTCCTCCTCCGGGCACCATTCCTCTGTAGTAATCCATAACGTTTCCTCCTCCTGGCACCATGCCTCTGTAGTAATCCATAACGTTTCCTCCTCCTGGCACCATGCCTCTGTAGTAAACCATAACGTTTCCTCCTCCAGGCACCATGCCTCTGTAGTAATCCATAACGTTTCCTCCTCCGGGCACCATTCCTCTGTAGTAATCCATAACGTTTCCTCCTCCTGGCACCATGCCTCTGTAGTAATCCATAACGTTTCCTCCTCCTGGCACCATGCCTCTGTAGTAATCCATAACGTTTCCTCCTCCGGGCACCATGCCTCTGTAGTAATCCATAACGTTTCCTCCTCCGGGCACCATGCCTCTGTAGTAATCCATAACGTTTCCACCTCCGGGCACCATGCCTCTGTAGTAATCCATAACGTTTCCTCCTCCGGGCACCATCATGCCTCTGTAGTAAACCATAACGTTTCCTCCTCCAGGCACCATGCCTCTGTAGTAATCCATAATGTTTCCTCCTCCGGACACCATGCCTCTGTAGTAAACCATAACGTTTCATCCTCCAGGCACCATGCCTCTGTAGTAATCCATAATGTTTCCTCCTCCGGACACCATGCCTCTGTAGTAATCCATAACGTTTCCTCCTCTGAGCACCATGCCTCTGTAGCGGTAATCCATAGTTTCCTCCTCCGGACATCATGGTCTGTAGTAATCCATAGCGTTTCCTCCTCCGGGCATCATGGCTCTGTAGTAATCATAGCGTTTCCATCCTCGGAGCACTATTACCTCTGTAGTAATCCATAACGTTTCCTCCTCCGGGCACCATGCCTCTGTAGTAATCCATAACGTTTCTTCCTCCGAGCACCATGCCTCTGTAGTAATCCATAACGTTTCCTCCTCCTGGCACCAGGCTCTATAGTAATCCATAACGTTTCCTCCTCCGGGCACCATCATGCCTCTGTAGTAATCCATAACGTTTCTTCCTCCGAGCACCATGCCTCTGTAGTAATCCATAACGTTTCCTCCTCCTGGCACCATGCCTCTGTAGTAATCCATAACGTTTCCTCCTCCTGGCACCATGCCTCTGTAGTAATCCATAACGTTTCCACCTCCGGGCACCATGCCTCTGTAGTAATCCATAACGTTTCCTCCTCCGGGCACCATGCCTCTGTAGTAATCCATAACGTTTCCTCCTCCTGGCACCATTCCTCTGTAGTAATCCATAACGTTTCCTCCTCCGGGCACCATCATGCCTCTGTAGTAAACCATAACGTTTCCTCCTCCAGGCACCATGCCTCTGTAGTAAACCATAACGTTTCATCCTCCAGGCACCATGCCTCTGTAGTAATCCATAATGTTTCCTCCTCCGGACACCATGCCTCTGTAGTAATCCATAACGTTTCCTCCTCTTCCCGCTCTATGAAAGGGAAATATTAATATGTGCTAACAGTTGCAGGGCCCCGCAACTATCACAATTTTAAATAATGCTGGCTTATTTTATATCTCCTTAGCCTAGACTCCTATCTCTGACTTTACATCTTTACGCCCGACACTGTAAGGACTGGTAATACAGAAAGTACATTTGTCGGTACGCACATAAATTCACTATGTCAAATAACTTCCTTACCAGTTTTGAAAGGGTCTCGTTTGCACATGGGAAAACTGGGCTGTTGTATTAAATCATTTATTATGGGCAGTTACCGAGTGCCTGACCAATAATGTGTCTGTTACAATCAGTGGAAACCTGTTAACTAGGCCCGGGAATCCATTTTGGGACAGGACCCAGGAGTTTAAAACGACTCGACTCACTGGGCCTTACTGCCACTTCTAGTTGCCTGTCCTTGCCCCCCAAGCTTCTTGAGCATCTTCAACCCTTCCTCCATTTTCATGAAATCTTGGCCCTTCTGCTTGAGCCAAGTCCATCTTTTCTCTGGAAATACCTTTATAAAAAAATGGCAAATTAATTTTGGTCGGCAAAATCCAGTAGACTGTATGTAACTCGGCTTACCGTACCATTCGCTCCACTGTATCCTGGGTCTTGGTTCCTATTTTGTGATCTACACTAAAAGCAACCTAAACTGATGTACCCCCTGCCGCCCTCGAGGGTCTCTACTGGCTGCCATTATTTTATCACTGTGTCCCCAGCAGGGCCGTTGCTACCATTAAGGTGAATAAGGCATTCGCCGTTGGTGCCGGCCTCTAGGAGGCGCCCACTGAGAGGATTCCCGATGCGCTGCCCTGCTGTAGCTGTCTGGGGATGTGTTAGGGAGAATGTATAAGTGACACTGTTAGTGAGTATGTGTTAGGGAGAATGTATAAGTGACACTGTTAGTGAGTATGTGTTAGGGAGAATGTATAAGTGACACTGTTAGTGAGTATGTGTTAGGGAGAATGTATAAGTGACACTGTTAGTGAGTATGTGTTAGGGAGAATGTATAAGTGACACTATTAGTGAGTATGTGTTAGGGAGAATGTATAAGTGACACTGTTAGTGAGTATGTGTTAGGGAGAATGTATAAGTGACACTGTTAGTGAGTATGTGTTAGGGAGAATGTATAAGTGACACTGTTAGTGAGTATGTGTTAGTGAGAATGTATAAGTGACACTGTTAGTGAGTATGTGTTAGTGAGAATGTGCAAGTGACACTGTTAGTGAGTATGTGTTAGTGAGAATGTGCAAGTGACACTGTTAGTGAGTATGTGTTAGTGAGAATGTGCAAGTGACACTGTGTGGTGTTAGTGTGTAACTGACAATGTGTATGCCAGGGAGAGTGTGTTAGAGTGTGTGTGTATAGGTGAGAGTATGTAGGTGACACTGTGTATGTTAGTGAGAGTGTGTAAGTTAGAGTGTGTGTATAGGTGAGAGTATGTAGGTGACACTGTGTGTGTTAGTGAGAGTGTGTAAGTGACACTGTGTATGTTAGTGAGAGTATGCAAGTGACAATGTGTAGGTCAGTGAGAATGTGTATGTGTTGGTGTGTAAGTTAGAGTTAGAATGTGTAAGTGTGTATGCCAGTGAGAGAGAGTGTGTATTAGTGGGATTGTGTAAGTGATTTTTTAAGAAACTTCAATAATTACCGTTCAGGGTTAACTCCTCTAGTGGCTATGCACGGGGACGTCCAGTCACGGAAATGCCACTGTGAGCGCAGCCATTGAGAAACGAAGGCGGACCCAAGCCAGCACAAAAGACATTGGTGCTGGACCCAGGTAAGTGACAGACGGTGGTTTAACCCCTGCTGCATCACGAGGGAGGATGCGCTTGACGGAGGGGGAAGCTATAGTGCCAGGATAACAAGTTTGTATTCCTGGCACTATAGCTACCTTTTAATATCTACTCAGTGCGCCTCTTTCCCTAAATGCCTGTTTAGTGAATAAACCTCTGAGGGAATGTAGTTGCATTCATTAGGGGGCGTCAAAATGTATTCTTGCCTAGGGTGGCAAGAATCCTTGCACCGGCCCTGGTCCCCAGGCACTTCATCTTGGCTTTACTGACCATAAATATACCTTCTCCAGCATTAGAGAATAAAACTGGTTTACCTCACAGTGTTTACTGAACTGTCACAAATGACACCTCATTTTCCTAATACCATCGGCTATGTCGCCCATTCCCAATTGGGTTGTAACGTTTCCTTGGCGTGTACACCCCCGTATCTCTCTGCAAAGGTACCCAGCTTCCTTGTACTCTGCCACAGTCTGTGTAAGACACAATAAAACATGCCAGAGTTGCTAAATACAGTTAAATCCCCGGAGTCCAATGGCCGTTGATATCAATTTAGTGAGTACACAGGAGGGCTCATTCACTAAACCGTTAATTGTCTTGAACTGAAAACGGAATTGCAGAAAATACCCAGGCTGCGACTTCAGCCGAGCTAGAGAATGTTTCGAAATCAACCGTTTTTTTTCTGCTCAGTGAATTCTCCTTCTTTTGTTGCACACATCTTCTATAAATAAACTGTAATTGGGGGTAGTAAAGGGGCTGGGGGCTCTGAGCTGCCCCTCTGTCATTTTACTAACAGAAGATGTCTAGAATGGGAAAAATGAATCGATGCTTTGGGAACGTTTAGGAAGGTATTGAACATCTGTAGGACGCAGAGGTTCATTTTAAAGAGTTAATAATGTGCAGCTTAATCCGTTTAATCGAGTAATGTATTGATGCAGACATAGCCCCCTTTCACATTTATTTTTCATGTCTCCAATTCCTTCAGTTATGTAACGACGGGTCTTTAACCCCCCACCATCCGTTGTGCTGGTGTGTACATGAAATGATTCATTCTGAGCCCTCCTGTCTACGCGCAGCCTAAATGTAACCCCATAAGGGGGAACTGAGTTCATCATCTTAACCCCTTAAGGACAAATGACGTGTGACATGTCATGATTCCCTTTTATTCCAGAAGTTTGGTCCTTAAGGGGTTAAAGAATAAGAAAGAAGAACAAATATAGAGTAATATTTATAAATTGTAATGGACCTTTACTTTTACTTTATTTTTTTGTATTTAAGAGCGCAATATAACAGTATATATCACTTTTATCCAGCGTCATGTTACAAAATATAGTAATTAATATTCCGTTAATCCAAGGTGGCATTATAGACAATGGTGTATATAATCAGACACTGGTACAAGAAGAGTAAAGTTGTTATGGTGCCACGATTTCCCAAGCACTGTCTTAATTAACATGCTAAACCATTAACATCTTTAAACCATTTGTAAATGAAGTTGTTATGGTGTCTGCAGTGTCCCTTTAACTAGGAATGTGAGGAACACAACAGATAAAGCTATCTCAGCTTGTGGGATAGTTATAGTTTACAATGAAATGATCCCTTGTCTGCTTATAGACACTTTTTGTACAAGGATTGTCACAGTAATGAATATTCTGAAAGGGTTAAAGCTATGCTGCCTGTTATGTTTTTACCTGCATACTTCTCCTTTAACATTCAGGTGATGACCCGACCTAGCCCCGTGCTTTAGTAACATTTTGGGGTGTGAATAAGCCTGGTGTCCCACAAAGTAAATAAGGCCTAGAACTCACAATGAATGAGTTGTGCGTTGGCTGGCGCAGAGCGATGGAATGTGCAGGACCTCCATGTTGTGTCATTATCTCATAACACAGGTGGCACGCTTCCTCAGGGCAAATACCGGAGTCATGACAAGACCAGGTTTAAACATGAGACGCTGCATTGTACTAAATGCCCTGTCCTGATTGGACAAGAAACCCCTGTCTCTTCTGAGTTCTTTAACGTTTCCCTCGAAGTAAAACTAAATCATCTAATCTCAGGTCGATCGGTAAAAAAAACAGAAAGGCTTCTTCATTATTTGAAGTAGATCAGTCCTTGAAGTGTTTGTCTCATGAAATTTACCTTAAAAAAGAATGGGTGCTAGTGATATTTAATTGTCATCTTCGTGCGCGTTTTGTGAAACATGCTGCAGTGATAGCACTCTCACCTTCTCAATCCTCCTTCTGCAGTTTAGCGAACGGACAAATATAACTGCGCTGAAATGGTGAGGCTGGCTGCTCCCAGCGAGGTGAGAATTTTCAGCCGGGGACAGAAAACCCGCCAATCTTTGATTTCAGTTACAATTTTTCCATATATGGCTATCTGTACTTTTATTGGATCCCATCTGTGGACAACGCACACCTCTCCATCCATCCACGGCTGATCCACATGGAGCCTTTTCTTTATTCTCTCCTGGCTCAGATTTTAGCTCCTGGTGGACCTGAGTGTGTTAGGATGTAACGCTGTGTCCTATGTACCAAATCAGCCTGCCCAGCTTAGCCGTCACATACAAGGCTAGACAATGTGATAACCGTATGCCATTGATTATGGAAAGAGCAAGCAATGAGCGGAGGACATTTTCACAGTCAGAATAATAGCCGCATGTCTGAAATCATTACTAGCCTGCGGATCTGGCCCCCCACTGTCCATGTATGAGTGGTGACTGAATGTCTGGGCCCATGGTGACAGTGATTCATTACTCGGCCCTGTACACACCTATCTAGCGAGGCCTGTCTCTGGGAAAAGCTGCAATAAGTTATCTCCAACTTGCCTGGATGGTGAGCATCTGCTACATCTGATAAGAATCAGCAGAGGCCTCATGGTGAGAAACCATTGCTCTGGAATGTCCTCCCCCCAGCTCTGGAGACAGGATTCCATTTTGTGACATCTCAACCCCTTCACTGTAGCACATTACGGAGTAAAATGGAGGCTCGTCGTGCTGGAGATGACGATTTAAAGAAGAACTTTCACCTTCGGGCTGGTGACAGTTCTGTTGTCGTTCACTCCAGTAGACATGACTAAAGCTGGGCTTTGGAGAAACATAAAAGACTCTTAGCGTCAGGTCACAGCTGGCTACTGGGGCCTGTATCGTCCGTCGACATGATGCACGTGCGCTTGATGTCCTTACTCCCATAATGCCGCATGTCTCCTGTCTGCACCCGCATTCCTGCCATACTGACAAACACACTAGAGACCTGAGCACAACATATCGTTTAAAAAAATCTCTCTGGAAGAATACAGAGGTAATAGTTCATTTTTGGCGAGGTCATATGTGACCTCGCCAAAGGTCACATAAGCAAAGGTTGTCTTCAGCGGATTGGAAGATGGCGGTAAAATGAATCATTGGGCTCCCATTGCCATAAACTGCAAAGCCCATCAATCTCAGGCAGCCTCCAGAGCAGCTAGAGTTTTTGATTTTGGTTCTCCTAATTATCAGGGAACTAAACATTTTAAAATAAAGCTTTAAACGTCATATAACTGATTGTGCTTTTCAAACTGCTAGATAAAAGTAATAAACCTTTTTCTATCTGCAAAGTGTCAAACAATAGGAGGGCTGGCTTTTAGAGGGCAATGCCCATTGTTATGTTTGTTTATAGACAAACAGTTAATACTGGATTATTTCTTAAATTACTGAACAGTTTGATTTGTTTGTAGAACAATTCCCTTCACTGTCTGTCTGGACCTAACGCAGGATACAGCGCACATTAATATGTGACTGTAAAACCAATTCTGATTCACGCACATGATGTATCAGAATGAAAGGGCATTTCTTTCCATGGAAGTTACATGCTAACCTTGCCCATTCGACACAGACTGGTCGTAGCCAGGTTCCAACGTGTGGCTTTCACTGGCGCTGAATCCATGTGCGTTCACAATGTAATCTGATAGACAGCGACTCTTTAATCTTCTGAACTATCAAAGCAAGAGAGACTAGAACAAGAGTCCTCAAATGTGACCCGTTACAGAATGCAGGACAGACCCACACCCTGACAGACCAACACTCCGTGCCATAACCTGTAATTCACCAAGTCTATTACTGCAGATCACCACCTTATTACTACACGTCACCAACCTTATTATAACAGTCACCAGCCTTATTATTACACATCACTAGTGATGTCCCGAACGGTTCGCCGCGAACGGTTCGCCACGGACTCATCATTGAGTAAACTTTGACCCTGTACCTCACAGTCAGCAGACACATTCCAGCCAATCAGCAGCAGACCCTCCCTCCCAGACCCTCCCACCTCCTAAAGAGGGTCACTGCCACCATTACAATGGCTTGCTCACTGTTACAGCTGAGTGATGCCCCCATTATAGAGTATACCGGCCCCATCTCCATTGCAGACCATGACTTTACTCTATAAAATGTGAGTTCAGTTTTCTACACATACCTCACAGCAGTGAGAGAGTGCTTTGTCGGTACCCAGATAGTGCGTGGGTAAATGACTGACAAGGAGGGCTGACAAACCTCTTTTATAAGTGAACCTGCTCTCCGCAGTTTTCCTGGCATATCCCTTTCTCTGTCCAAGCCGCTCGCTCTTCCTATTTCTCCAGTGTTGGGCGGAATGAGTTGGACCTGTAATTTCTGTCATTTCTGTGTTTCTTCTTTTTTTTTTTTCTTCTTTATTTTTGCAATGACAGATGAGGAAGTAAAACGACATTTACTGTACATATGCTCGCGCGAGAGCCAAAGTATGGTTCGACATTGTGTGGTTGGTACAGAAGAAAAGCGATATCCATTTTATGTCTCTGTTACACCCATGGTGTAGCTGCCATCTGCCAGCGTTTTTTGTTTAACAGTAGAAAGAGTACGTACTCACATAACATGAGGTATCGATGGATTTAACTGTGGTTGTGTGTCAGTATTTTGATGAACATGAACTTTGGGCCGGGGTTGTGTTTCTTCTTTTACGGACATATCTGAGAGTTTATTCGTTGTATTTTCTTTTGACAGTTGACTTATCAGTTTTCTAGACAGGCCACCAGGTTGTATGTTATCACTGAGTGTGACTTGACTTGTTTTGTTTCCTCAAATTATCAATCATTTGTACAGATGTTGGATGTTGGTTTTGCCATTGTAGCAGTTCAGCAGCTGCAGGTACCTGCTGTACCCATAATTATTTATCAAAATATTTACTTTGCACATTTTTTTTCAGGTTTCAATTTTCATTTCCAAATCTCCATGACGATCACAACGCTCCTTCTAAGAGGGAACCTACAGGTTCCATTGTAGAATCAGCGTTGCCCTATCTGGCAGGCAGGGTCAGGGGATGTAAAACAAAACACAGTCCTGGGCTTTTCTAGTGATTGATTTTTGGAAGGCAGACTTGTT